CCTAGTGTGTTTTCTTTGTTAATCATCCAAGATTCGAGCAAGAATTGAAGAACAAATTGTTGAAGAACTCTCTCCCACTCTAGGGCACTCACTAACCCTCAAAATATCATATTTTTGTTCAAAGGATGGTACAAATCATCTATTTAACGAAGTAGGGTCGGGTTATAAAAATCCCAAAATGATGCTCCAGAACAGGATATGCGGTTGCATATGCGACCGCAAAATGGATATGCAGTCCGCATATCAGTCGCACAATTTGGCCGCCAAAGCTGATGTCGCCAGCTTAGGTCTGCCTTTATTATGAGGCCCGCAGACCCGTTATGTGGTCACATAATGCACCGCTTAACTGGTCTGCAGTCGCATAATGTACTACTGACTTCCTCCAAATCTTGCCTAGCATATGCTTCACTCCACAACCAATATGCGATCTGCAAAGTGATTCTGCGATTGCATAGTGGGCCGCAGAAATGCCCTCTTATGCCAAAAATCATCCTTCACTCCCCAGTGCATTGATCAACCCAAAAGGTCCCCAAACACATAAGTCTACTTCGGCACCACGAAACCTTAAGTTCCTTTACAAAATTCTATGAGGCCTACTTTGTACTCCTCGTAAGTTTGATTCGATTTGGGTGATTGTGGATCGACTCACGAAATCAGCTAACTTTTTATCGGTTAAGGCTACCGAAACTGTGAAACAGTATGCTCAGTTGTATCTCAATGAAATAGTCAAGTTGCATGGCACTCTAGTTTCTATCATTTCTGATTGAGGGGCACAGTTCACGACTAATCTTTGGAAAATATTTCAGCAAGGTTTGGGTACTCAGTTGAATCTCGGTACAACCTTTTACCCATAGACGGACAGGTAGGCATATCGGACAATTTAGATGCTCGAGGATATGTTGTGCACTTGTGTTGTAGAATTCATAGGTAGCTGAGATGATCATTTGCCACTCATAGAATTTGCCTACAATAATAGTTATCATGCTAGTATTCAGATGGCACCTTTCGAGGCTTTATATAGTAGGAGATGTAGATCTCCCATTGGGTGGTTCGTGATTTGGGAAGCTGAGTTGATAGGGTGAGACCTCGTGCATCAGGCTATGGAAAAAGTTAAAATCATTAAGGAGCGGTTGAAGACTGCTCAGAGTCATCAGAAGTCCTATTTAGATGTTCGTCGTAGGGATTTGGAGTTCAAAGAAGAAGATTGGGTATTCTTGAAACTTTCCCCCCTGAAGGGTGTAGTGCGATTTGGTAAGAAAGGGAAATTGAGTATGACGTATGTCGGACCATAGAGAATCATTAGTGCGAGGTGGCATACAAGCTTGATCTACAACCTGAGATGTCATTAGTACACCAGGTATTTCATGTGTCTTTGTTGAAGAAAATAATTGGAGACCCGACATTCATTGTTCCGGTTGAGACTATTGAGGTTAATGAGGAATTGACTTATGAAGAGATTTCAGTTTTTATTTTTGATAGGCAAGTTCAAAAGTTGAGAAAGAAAGAAATTGCCTCCGTGAAAGTGTTATGGCGAAACCAACAGGCTGAAGAGGCCACCTGGGAGGTCGTGGATGAAATGAAGAAGAAGTACCCTCATTTGTTTGAATAGTCATGTATTTATAAAGTTGTGTTCTTTGAAAATGCTAAGAGTTATCTTCTATGAATTATGTATCAATTGTACAACTGATATTAAAGGTGTTCCGTTTTGGTAGCATACTGCCCGTAAGGCCACAATTGACGTTATTTTTATTCTATATTATGTCATTGGTTCATATACATGTTGTTAGGATTGGTTTGTGGGATTCTCTGACAGGTGGATAGGCCTAGTTACAGGGGAGACTCTGGAAAGTTTTTTGACATTTAGGGAGTTAGCCAAATTTTGAAACTACTGGTGTGTGTGAATTAATAGTAGGGCCATATTGAATGCTAATGACAGATTTTGACACTCAATCGAGGACGAATAATCCTAAGTGGGGGGAGAATGTAAGGCCCCGTAAAATTTTGCAAAGGAATTTAAGGTTTCGTGGAACCAGAGTAGGGTTACATGTTTGAGGATAGTTGATCTGCGGTCTGCATAAAAGTTCCATGGTCTGCACATTGGACCGCAAAATCTCCTTAAAATATTTCCCTAGCTGGCCTAAAAAATTTTGCGATGGATCTACAGTCCGCGAAATGGCTATGTAGTCCGCATAACCCACCACAAAAAGACCCTCGAATTTAGTTTGCTTCTGACCTATTCGTGATGATTATGTGATCAACGAAACTAATTCAGGGTCCACATAATTGGTCGTGAAATTTACCTCTCATTCCAATTCTTCTTCCCACTTTGCAACGCATTGCAGTCCACAAATATGTACTGTGGCTAGCTTGCGAGCCGAAACTTGTCATACAACCTTCCGAGCATAATAGCATGACTTTTTAAGTATAAAACCTTATATCCCTAGCGAACTCTTACGGGGCCAAACATTCTCCCTCGCTTAGGATCATTTGTCCTCGAATGAGGGTTAGAGTCGGCTATAGATACCAAGCATGACTTGGTTCATCACTCAAACACATCTCATGACCTAACAAAGCATTACGCACATCGGGAAACATCAACCGTGAAAATATATTCATTGCATAACCATTAAGAACACAAGAGCATAATCTTTACAAATTCAAAATGTAAGGCCCCGTAAAATTAACCAAAGAAATTTAAGATTTCGTGGTGCCGGAGTAGGCTTACGTGTTTGAGGATACTAGAGCAAAATGGACTTTTTGGATTGAACAATGCACTGAGGAGTAAAGGAAAATTTTCGGCAGAAGAAGTCATTGTTGCGGCCCACTATGCGATCACATAACACTCTACGAACCGCATAATGGCCGCAGAGTGAAGTAGAGGCGGGGCAGCATGGAGGAAGGTCTGCAGTGCATTATGCGACCGCATAATAGGTCTAAGGGCCGCATAATTATCACAGACCATAGGCAGGCGACATCAGCTTTGGGCACCAAATTGTGCGGCCCATATGCGGACTGCATATCCATTATGCGGTCGCATATGCGACCGCATATCCTGTTCCGGAGCTTCATTTTTGGGTTTATATAACCCGATTCTAATTTGTTAAATAGACGATATGTATCATTTCTTTACCAAAACCTGATATTTTGAGGGTGAGAGTGTGCCCTAGAGTGGAAGAGAGTTCTTCAACAATTTGTTCTTTAATTCTTGCTCGAATCTTAGAAGATTAACAAGGAAACTCACTAGGCCTTCATCCTAGAGGTAAGATTCTACACCCTAACCCTTCATTTCGAAAGTTAAGAAGAAATGAGTAATTAGTAAGATAATTCTTTGGTATGGGAGTTGGTTGTTTTGCATGCATGTGTTATCAAGGGGTGTAGGAAAATTGTTGAGCTAAAAATGATAAAGAATGGGTTGTGGGATGATGGAATTCTCCATAAAAGAACCTTGAAACTTTAATGCACACCTAGTGTTTGATAAAATGCTCAAATGAGCTAGAACCATGATCATCTTCCTAATTTTGGTTCAATTTGTTACATTTCTAAAATAGATCGAAGTTAAGATTTCTAGAACATTTTAGAGTTTAAGGAAGCTCCATTGAGGTATGTTGGCTAAACTCTTCTCTTACAATTGAATCCCACGGTATTCATGTAATTTATGTAAGTCCCGAATTATTCATTATGAAAGTGGCTATTCCGAATAAGCTTGTACTAAAAGATATATTCTCAATATGTATCCCCGGAATATTTTTATCATGTAATGTTATGATTTGAGATTATGTTCAAAGTATGGGGTGTGCATTAATAGGGTTGCGACTTCTAGTCAAGTTCAAACATAGGCTATTATGCAACATTTTGTGAAAAATCTATATGTGCCTAAGACTCTTAATTGCTCGCATGTGTACTAAAAACATTGATTTGAAATGCCTTATTGTGGATGATGATGATGATGTTTGAAAGTGAAAAAGGTGAGCATGAAATCTTAAATACGGCCGATGTGCCAATAATAATTTTATAATTGTGGCCACTAGTGCCACTGAAATGAAAAGATGTGAAAGAAGTATGAAATGAGATGATGGGTATAAAAAGGTTGATGTCTCTAAGGAGACGTCCTAGTCGATCGGGTCATGATCGGATGCCATGCCGCACACATGGTGGTGATTGTGCTGGAAATTATAATTGTGGTTGATGTCTTTAAAGATATGGCCTAGTCGATCGGGTCGCGATCGGACTCCGTGCTAAATATACAGTAGTATTGGTATTGTGAATATTTGAATCATGAATGGTGGCATATTGGTTTTAAAGACTTCCCAAATTAAAATATGAAAATTTATTTGAACATTGTCTTGATCCTAATTTTAGGTTTGATGTTGTTTGAGGATTCACTGCTATTTTGATTCTACTCGCTCGTAATATTTATCATTGTATTGAGAGGGTATTTTGTCATTCATACTAGTACTATTCTATATGTACTAATGTCCCTTTTGCCGGGGGCGCTGCATCTTCAATGGATGCAGGTGGTTCCATAACATGAGACACTGATCAGTGATAACGGAACACTTTCTTTCCAGCAGACTTGGTAAGCCCCACTTCATTTCAGGGTCATATCTTTGGGGCGTGACACAAAACACAGTACATGGAAAATAAATTTCTAGTATTTCTTAAACACGGCCAACTAGCTCTACAAACAAATGGGAATAGCTTTTCTTCATATCTTCTTTTGCTTCCTAGATGTCCTCTTCAACTTGTTGGTTTAACCATTTCACTTTGACGGAGGCACTCTCCTTATTTCTCAACAGACAAACTTATATATCATGGATGGCGATAAGAACCTTTTCATAGGTCAAGCCCTTATTAACTTCAATAGTATCTATAGGGACATTGAGCAACGTATCGCTAACCACTTTCTTTAACATAAATATGTGAAATACCGGATGCAAGATTCTATAAGGTCCAATGTACCTTGGGCTTGGTTTTCCATTCTTCCCTAATCGCATTATGCGTTACATGGGGAAAACATTCAAGAACACCAGCTCATCCACTTTGAACTCTAAATCTCTGTGTCGTATATCCGAATAAGACATCTGGTGACTTAGAGCAGTTTTCAACCGCTTCTTGATGATCTTGACCTTTTCCATTTCTTGATTCACAAGGTCTGGCCTACCATATAGAGCCTCGGACGGTGCTATTTCAATGATTGCATGGTTTCTGTTGTTATAGGCAAATTCAATGAGCGACAAATGATTATCCCAGCTTCCCATGAAGTCAAGAACACATGCACGCAATCCTTATATATTTGTATAGTTCACTCGGCTTGCTTGTCAATCAGTGGATGGAAAGTTGTTCAAAGATTCAATTGAGTACCCAAACCTTGCTGAAATTTTTGCAAATTTAGCAGTGAACTGCACCCTCTGTTCGAGATGATGGAAATTGGAGTGCCATGCAATCTAACTATCTCTTTGATATACAATTGAGCATGATGTTGCACTGTGTCAGCAACCTTAATAGGAAAGATATGTGCTAACTTCGTGAGTCGATCGACAATCAACCAAACTGTGTTAAAAATATGAGGTGTGTGAGTTAAACCTACTACAAAGTCTATGCTGATCATCTCCCACTTTCACATAGGAATTTCTATATTTTGTGCCAAAATACGATCGTCTTTCACTTGCTGGTAATTCAGGCATTTAGCCACAATTCATGCCAAGAGAAATGGCCATGGTCTTGTGTTTATGAATTCGCTCGTTCAATTGTACCAAGAAAGGGTTGTCATACTATTTCTCCTTAACTTCCACAACCAGTGATGAGTCAACTCTATTTTGCACAATCACCCTACTTCCGCTCATATGTTGCTGTCAGCATTTCTTCATTTTTCTATTGATGGTACTGATATAGTCTTTTTTTCATAAATAACCTCTCTACCCCCTCGGGTAGGGGTAAGGTATGTGTACACACTACCCTTCCCATACACCACATATGGGATTTTACTGGGTTGTTATTGTTGTTGTTGTTTTACCCTACTTTCGCTAGAGTCCATAAGTGAGACCACTAAATTAGCCAATTGATGTACTTCCTACGCCATCGGCCTTTCTTGTGCCTTCAAGTGAGCAAAAATGCTAATTATTTCCGGCTAAGAGCATCCGCCACAACATTAATATTCCCCGGATGATAGAGAATGTCAATATCGTAGTCTTTACGTATTTCAAGCCATCTCCTTTGCCTTAAATTCAACATGGACCCCATACAGATTATGACACCATATCTTCAATGCAAACACCACTATCGCAAGCTCTAAGTCATGAGTTGGATAATTCTTCTCATGGTTCTTGAGGTTTCTTGAAGAATAACGACCACTTTTCCTTGTCGTATTAATACATACCCATGTCCAACCCTCGAAGCATAATGATACATGATAAACCTATCCATACCTTCCAGTAAGGTCAACATAGGTGTCGTGGTTAATCTCGACTTCAACTTTTGGAGGCTCCTTTCACAAGCATCTGACCAATGGAATTTAGCTATCGTTTGTGTCAATTTGGTCAACAGAGAGGCATGAAATGAAAATCCCTCCACAAACCTCCTGTAATACCAAGCTAAGCCTAAGAAAATGTGAATCTCTATCAGAGTCGTAGGTCTCGGCCAATTTTTCACAGTTGTTTCCTTCTGAGGATCAACCTTTATTCCCTCGCTAGAGACAACATGACCCAAGAAAGCGACAGATTGTAACGACCCAATTGATATTCTTGTTGTATTTGAGACTCGTTCCCCTATTTGATGCATCTCTTGTGCTTACTTATATTTTTTGTAACTTGCAGGGATAGTTGGTTTTGTTCTTGAAGTTTTTAGAGTAATGTGGAACACTTAGTTCCATTGTTGGAAGTTTAAGTTATAGTAGTTGACCAATATTTCGATTTTATGTTAACGACCTTAGATTTGTGTTTTGATAGTTCAATATGTTCATATGGCTATGTTGGACTTAGACGTATTCCGGGATTCGAATTTGGAGGTTCCTACAATGATTTGGATCTTTTTGCCGATAGTTGGAAATTTGAAGGCTTAGAAATTTCGAAAGATTAACCATGAGTTGACTTTGGGGCTATCGAGCTTAGGTGGTTGTTCCAATACATGGAATATGTTCGTCTTGTCATTTGGATCTTGTTTGCAAAGTTTAGTCTCATTCCGAGTTTGTTTGGTGGGAATCAAATGCTTGGTTTTGAATATTGTTGTTCTTGAATTTTAAGGTTTGCATTCATTTTGGTGTTAGATTTATGGTTATGGATATTTTATTTATGTTTTGAGCTTGCAAGATTGTTCATGTGTGATTTATATACTTGTGTGTATTTTTAGTTTGGGGAGTGAGGGATTCGGGTGAGTTTCAAATTAATTTAGATTAGTTTGGAGAAGTTCATATTTTTGATGGTGCTGCAGACCTCGTAATTGCGAGGTTGTGCTTGCATTTGCGGAGTGACGATCACATTCGACAGGTTAGGCAGTGTAGGCAAACTTTGAATTTGTGAAGCAGTGTAGGCAAACTTTGAATCTGCAATTGTGAATGGAAGTCCGCATTTTGGACACTTGGTCGCATTTGCGAGCTTCCTGGTTGCAATTTCTATATTAGAGGCGGAGGGATCTAGTTTGCATTTGCGAGCCATTTCTCGCATTTACCGGACTCGCAATTACGAACCTCTTATTGTAATTGCGACTTCCGCAACTTATTATTTAGAAGGAATTTTAGGACTTAGACCTATTTTCTAATATTTTGAACCCCTACACATTGAGAGGGGCAATGTTTTAAGAGGATTTACACACATGCAAGTCGGTAAGAGAGTTTCACTTGATTTTGATATTATATCTTGATTTTACATGGATATTTACTTGTAAATATTGCAATTTAGAAGGGAATTTTTTGGGTTTTTGACTATTCTTTTAAAAATTAAAATTGGGGATTTGAGAGTCGAATTAGACTCCACCTTGGAATCTAATAACATATTTGGAATCGTGGGGTTCTGGTTAGTTTGGCTCTATCCATTGACTCAAATTTTTACTGTGTGGGCCTGGGGTTGTCTTTTGTTGACCTTTGGAGAATTGGGTGATGATCGAGACTTTATTGTTTGGAATTGATTTTTATAGCATTGTTTGGTTTTATTGAGTTATTGTTTGCTAGATTTGAGTTAGATGGAGGTGATTTTTAAAGGAAATGATATTATAGAGGATTAATTTGGGCTTATTGAGGTAAGTATCTTGCCTAACCTTTTTGCGGGGGATTACCCCTTCGGATTCAGTCTTATTTGCCTAATTATATTATGTGAAAAGCGACGTGTACGCAAGGTGATGAGCGTGTGCACTAGTATTATGTTTGGTTTTGACCGTATTAGACCTTAGGCTTCTAATATGCCTTATTTTGTTTAGATGCTTTGTATGAAACATTCTTAATTACTTTGTAACTACATAAACTTGATTTACCATTGATTTAGCTATAGTGATGGTTCATATTTGAACACCCATCCACATTTTATACATTGACGTGTCCCTGTTCATCTAGTTTACAAATTATGACCTTATGTCTTTGATGGTAATTTGGCATTTTGCATTGTGATGACTATCGCACATGTGGACATGTTAGGCGGATCGAGTGGGTGTTGGCATGAGGTCTTTTCTGTGTAATTGTGATTGTTTTTGTGCATATGTGGCATTTCTTGATTATTTTTGCACATGCGGCAAAATAAAGATGGCACTTTGATGAGATTTATGTGGTGGTACGAGGGTGACATTCTTAACCATTTACATACATTCTTTAAACTTCATCATGTATTTCAACCAGTTTTTAAGTGGTATCTGACATGCTATAATATGTCTATATTTCTACTTGATGATTTGTTTGTCAACGATGGATTTTTCCTACGTCGAGTTGTTATCACATGTGTTTACAAGATTGTTGGTATTGCTTTCCGATATATATTCATTTTTTCAGTTATTGACATATTGCACAGGTTCTTTTGACTAGTGGGTATCACAAGACTTGAACCTCGTCACCACTTCATCGAGGTTAGTCTTAATACTTACTGGGTACTGATTTTGATGCACTCATACTATACTTCTGCTTATTATTGTGCAGATCCGGGTGTTGGAGGCAGCGGGCTTCGACAATGTGGACACACTGGTCGTGAGGATTAAAGGTAGTGCTGCATGATTATCAAAATTCCTTCGGAGTCCCATCGTTTATGTTGGTATTGTTATTTCAACATTCAAAATGTATTATATTTGTGACTTCTTAAGTATTCGAATTATAGCTCATAAATCTGTACTACCTGGTTTCATGGAGTTATTTTTTATATTGCCATTTTGGCTTACGTTATAACTATTTTCGTTGTTACATTGAATACAGTCTAATTATATCATGTTTTGATGATTTAATGCTATTTATGTGATAGGCTTACCTAGTTTTGAAGGTTAGGTACCATCACGATCCATTAGGTAGGATTTGGGTCTTGAGAAGTTGGTATCATAGCTCTGGGTTCATAGGTTCGAAGAGTCATGAGCACGTCTAGTATATTCTTGTGGTTTGGTACAGAGACGTCTGTACTTGTCTTGAAGATGCTACCAATTTGTTAGGAAGATTCACTATAATTTATTCAGTCTCGTGTGGATTTGTTATTCCAAAGTTTGAATCTTTACTCTTCTATTCTCTCACAGATAATTAGGACACATTCTTTAGGGTCGACTGAGCAGGCACCAGGGCCCTCTGTTAGAGATGCGAGAGGCTGGGGCCGAGGTAGAGGCTGAGGTGGGGCACGCGTCGTAGCTATAACCACTGCTAGAGTAGCGGCGGTGGAACCGCAGTAGCTCCACTTAAGGAGCAGGATCCCGAGCATATTGAGCATGCACCCAAGGGACCTATTGCTGCACTAGGACTTCAAGAGACTCTGGCTCACTTCTTGAGTATGTTTGAAAGTTTGGCCCATGCACCGTTAATTCCAGTTGCACCAGCTACTTCACCGACTGGGGAGGCGCACGAACTCCCGCTACACGTACACTAGAGCATCTAGCCCATGCTTATCAAATACCGAGTGTTATGCCAATGCAGCCGTTAGTTACAGTTCAGCTCGAGGTAGGACTAGTGGTGCCTGCTGAGGACCAGAAGAGGTTGGAGAGGATATAGAGACTTCCTCCTCCCTTGTTAAGTGGAGGGGCTTCTGAGGATGCATAAGGTTTCTTGGATCAGTGTAATCGCATTCTACATACCTTGGGTTTGGTGGAGTCAAGTGTGGTCGAGTTTACTATTTTTCAGTTGATAGGGCTTGCATACAGATGGTGGTAGACTTATGAGGTGAGTAGGCCAAGTAGTGGAGCGCCACTTACATGGTCCCAATTCTCTGATCTGTCCTCGAGGAAGTGTATTCCACAAACCTGCAAGGACAAATTGCACAATGAGTTTAAGCATTTGCACCAAGGGGTTTGACTGTGTCTGAGCATGCTACGAGGATTACAGAGTAATCTTGTAAAGCGGCTCCCTCAATATGTGCTCAGAAAAAGAGCATTGAGGGTTTAACAGTCACTCCCCGACCTTGAGGAGCGCGACCGATGCTCAACTGAGATACCCCGGCCAAGCAATCCCACTTAATGCCTTCTATCCAATCTTATCCATGACCAATATAAAATCAATATGAAGAGATATACATGAGGAGAATAAAGTGTTCCACATTCTTTTCGCATTATTGAAAATATATCAATTTATGATTTCCAAAATATTACAAGTTTAAAGATATGAGGAAAAACATGTTTGCAAAATACCAACACTTACTAGTTCAATTCCCAATATCAAATTCCACCCACAACCTATCTACGGAGCCTCTGAGTACTACAGTAGTGAAGAATGAAAGTGCTGGTAGCAAGGCCCCAGCTATACCTCAAAACATAAAGTACAACATCAACTAACATGAAGCTCGGAACAGAGTAGGGCTCACCAAAATTTGCTGAGTAGAGAGTAACTACTAATGAGAATCATAACCTCCCGTTGACAAACCACCTGCATCCATTGAAGATGCAGTGCCCCATGTAAAAGGGACGTTAGTACATATGGAATAGTACTAGTATATAAAGCTAAGTGTACTCTTTCAAACTTGAATGCCAATATAAGAAAGGGAAAAACCATAGAAACAACAAGTCACCATTAACAATATCTAAATACCCACTTAAAACACAACAATTTTCAAAATACAAAAATAATATATATTTTTGGTTGGGAGATCATTAGCACCGATATACCACCGTGTTTTTAGCACGGAGTTCGATCATGCCAGATCGGCTAGGCCATATCTCCACACAAAATGTGGTTTGACATGTGATATGATAAAAAAGTGTTGCAAAGAGTAGTACTACCATGTGCGCAACATGGCATCCGATCTCCACTCGATCGGCTAGGCCACAAATGCCGTGTGGGTTGATTTTAAATCCAGGGATATCAATAATCTCATCCTAATTAAGGGAAATAATCACAATCACATCAATATTTCAATCTCATCCCAAATAAGGGGAATAATCACAATCCATTCCTACACCGGCACGTGTAGTTTTGGGTGTGGGCCTTATGACCCACCCTTCCTCGGTTTGCTAATGATACTCCCAAAAACCTTTTTATTATTGCACATAAGGAACCAAAAAGTACAAATATATTTTATATTCACCTCTTAACTTTTCACACTAAATATATAGCTTCGTTAGTACTTTCAACCATTCACAACATCATTATTCCCTTGGCTCTCTTGGCCATACTTATGATTTTTCATTCATGGCACGATGGTCGTTTCTCATATTCCACACTTTCAGTTCTTTACCTTAATGGATCATCATCATAAATATCAACAAAAAGGATATTTCGAAAATCACAATTTTAGGTTTATTAGTAATGAAAACTTTAAACACAATGGATTTCTTCCCAATAAATGGAGTAAAATGATTGGCAATCGAAGCACAAGTTGAAATTATAGACGTGTAATACATCATTTTTTCTTGAAATAGTTTTCATCAAAAAGGGCAATACATAATTTCAATTCATGAAGATATAAGAGCTCAAAGAACATTGGAAATACTTCCAAAACATAGCATTAGTTAAAACAACCACATTTGAGCATGACTTGGGTACATAAGCTTTTAGGCAAATATATTTTCGAAGTTAGTTTGGAACAGTTGAATCGAGGCTGGAACAGTTGAATCGAGGGTTATTTCATAACCTTTCTCACATCATTTCATTTCCTCAGCACCATTGACCACAAGTATAAATTTCAATCTTGGCACGTTGGCCACACATTATATCTCCAATCCACTTCTTTCACTTTCAAGCAACATTATAGATTATCAACAACAAGGCATTTCAAATCAAGACTTTAGGTACACATAAGCAATTAGAGTTTTAGACACATGGAGTATTCGTTCCAAGTTAAGCATAATGGACTTTCATTTGAGACACAACTCAAGCCATAAAATTTTAATACACATATCATTCTTCAACACATTCCCAAACGATAAAGTAATGTGATAGGAACATTCGGAATACATTTTGAATACATAATTCTTGACACTTTCTTACGCGGGACGATCAAATTTATTGGGAACGACTCGGAACATGCGAATATGGAACTTGAGCCAACCATAG